AATCCAGTATGAATCTGCCATATCTGTAGTTTTTACCAGTCTGCTAAGTCATAATTCCAGAGCGAATTACCTTATATAATTTATCTGTAACTCCAAACTCCCTCTGTAACAGTAATCCTGTTTGAATCCACATCACATCTGTATTTTTTACTGTTTTTTTTTACCTGAAGCCAAACTAACAGCTAAAATGGAGCTTGTTTTGACCCAATTCCTTAATCCTCAAGACTTATAATGCCAATGACAATGACAACACTTCTGAAATCCCCAGTGTTTTCAGTGATGGCTGAATTACAAGGAGAAGGAAAATTAATATCTAGAAATGCAGTGCGTTTTCTGTCTTGTTGGGATCATTTGGTAAGTTGAATGAACCCACTTCACTAGCCTAATGCTAGTCTATGTGCCATTTAGCCGCTCACCGTGTTGTTATTGTTCAGAAGTGTGGCGCCTGTCGCATATTGCCTTTGTAAATGTGCTTGCAGTGATGTTTTGATCCAGGCTATCTGGGGTAATTTGGGGAAATTACACAGATCTTTTGTCCCGTATGAATCGGCCAGTCAAATCGTGCTCAAATTACATGACCGGACCTCCTTAGATAAAACTATCCAGCTCTAATAGGGTGTACGTCCGTTAGGTAATACTTCTGGCGCTTTTTTCCTTCTATAATTCACTGATTTCAGAGCCTCCTCAGTAATAGTAGTCCTGTTCAAACTGACCTCACAGTAATGTAATAACAAAACCAGGCAGGCTAATAAACAACATGACTCCACTTTTTCTGTTTTTTTATCTTTTTGTGATCTGAAACAAGTCCAACAGTTAAAATGGAGCTGATTTGACCGGTTTCCCTATATCCCCACGTTAATTACATAACCAATGAAATCCACATTTTTGGTGATGGTCAATTGGTCAGTTTTCATGATATACAGTAACTGCAATAATGTCTGTCCAACTTTCTGAATCGTGCTGTTCTCTGTTCTATCTGGGCTCGTTGGTTTTATTTATGTCTTGTTTTATCTGTCTTGTGATATTAGAGCAATAAGCAGTAAGACTCCCTGCGTTATTGTCGTTTCGCACAATGCAAAGCACAGTGAAATGCCTGTAACAGCCTCAAGTGGCTCACTGCTTTTCCAAAACAGTGAAACAGTCAGTGTGAAGTCGAACGTGTACATTGAGTATTTAAAAATGACATCAAAGTGCCTCAGTCTTGTTTTAAAACTTAATCTATCCATTCTATAATTACCCATTTAGAGCTTCTGAAGAGATGATAAAACACATGGACGTGTCAAAACAGCAGAAACTCGTCTTTTCCACAAATCAAAGAATTTATGCAGGGAGGAGATGATGGGTCATTCCGTTATTGGTCCATTTATACGTCTTTTGTCAGTATTGCATTTGTACCGTAAATAAATTGCACCAGAGTTTGAATCGAACAGAGACCGACCTTCTCGGGGGTCTTGGTCCACTTATTTGGTGCACACCAGGGTTTAGATGTTAGCGTCCTCACTTGACCTAACGAGCCACACTAACAGAGCAATGGCACCAGGGTTCATTTTAATCAAGCCAACCCGTCCAAGTCTGAACCCAGCCTTAGAAGCAGAAGGAAAATGAAATATCTTGTAAGCACCTCTCGCAATGCAGTGCATTTTCAGTCTTGTTGGGTGACATTAGGTAAGTTGAATGAACTCAGTTTACTAGCCTAAAGCTAGTCTATGTACCATTAGCTGCACAACGTATTGGTATTGTTTGGAAGTGTGGCGTCTGTCACATACTGTTGATGTAAACGTCCTGATAACGATGTTTTGATCTGGGCTATTTAGGGTAGTTTGGCGAAACTGCACAGATTCTTTATCCCATACAAATTGGCCAGTCAAATCATGAGCAAATTACATTACCGGACCTCTGGTAAAACTGATCCAGCTTGAATAGGGCTTTTTATTTAAAAAGGTAATCCATTACAGATTATTAATTACTTCTTTTAATATGTAATGGGAACACTTAATTTAATACTTCCTGGAAAAAAAGTAATCTCACTTCTGAGCACTTTATTTCTAAATTCCTTTATAAAACCCAAAACAATCTGTACTGACTGGAAATGCAAAGGACAGTTCTTTTCAGTGCTTTATTAGAAATAAACACAATCACAGTAAACACTATTTAACTATTTCTGCCTTCGAAAATCCAGCTAGTTATACTTTAAATTTATTATGATGCTGTTTGAAAACTTAGAAACTAGTTCAAAAACAGCTGCATCCAAATACATTTGGCTCTAACCAACACTTGTACCAGGTATTCAGTGTCCTTAATGGCTTAGTTTGGGTGCCTGGAGCTGTGTTTGAGCAAAAATGTGGACCAGCTGGAGGTGCCTGAGGGCTGTTTTAAGAACCTTGGGTCTACATGCTAATGACTATGAGCTGTGGTGCAAAAAATAGTGTTTTAAATAGTGTTGTGCTTGCAAGGATTGCACTCCAGTCTCATTTCATCCACCTAAAAATCTCACTCTAGTCACCACACCACAGTTGGCAACCCTGCTGTGATATATTCTCTTTTCTGAATATTATTTATATTCATCAAGCGCTTTATTAGGAATGTTATACTAATACTGGGTAGGCCTCCCTTTGCTCAGCCTCAATTCTTCGTGGCGTGGATTCCACAAGATGTTGGAAACATTCGTTTGAGATTCTGGTCCATGTTGATGTGATTGCATCAAACAATTCCTGCAGATTTTTAGATGCACTTTCATGCTGCAAATCTCTTGTTCTGCCACATCGCAAAAGTGTTTTACTGGATTCAGATCCACTGACTGGGAACGCCACTGAAGAACACTGGACTTATCGTCATGTTCATGAAATGCCACAGCCATGAGAAGGCTGTGGCATTTAAGTGATGATTGATTGGTATTAACAAGCCCAAAGTGTACCAAGAAAACATTCCCCACCCCATTACACCACCTCCACCAGCCTGGACTGTTAACACAAGGCAGGTTGGGTCCGTGGACAATCTGAGTGCCTCAGCAGAAATTGAGATTCATCAGACCAGGCTATGTTTTTCCAGTCTTCAACTGTCCAGTTTTGGTGAGCCTGTGCCCACTGCAGCCTCAGCTTTCAGTTTGGCTGAAAAAAGTGGAACCCAATAAGGTCTTCTGCTGTTGTAGCCCATCCACCTAAAGGTTCAACTTGTTGTGCATTCTGAGATGCTTTTCTGCTCACCACAGTTGTACAGAGTGGTTATCTGAGTAATTGCAGCTTTTCTGTCAGCTTGAACCAGTCTGGCCATTCTCCGCTGACCTCGCTCACTGGATGTTGTTTCTTCATTGCACCATTCTGAATAAACTTACTTATTTAATGTGCTAGGCAAGCTAGCATGCTCTTAGATAGCTAGCCAGATTTAGCTAGCTAGGCTAATGTTAGCTAGTTTTTAACTCTGATTCACAGATATTAATGCAGCTCATCTAGTTCTTTAACATTTTAATAATGAAGAGCTGAAAAACAAAATTAACACTTTTACGTCTTTAGAAAATTAATTTGGTTGCCTAGTTTTAAGGTAAAATTGATTATCCTGTAAGTTATAATGAATTATTTGTGGTTATAATGGTTCAGTAATATTACAGTAGACATACAATAGTGGGGTTGCTGCAGCAAAATCTGCCTGTACTGTAAATATTTTCTCAGAATTTGAAACAGGCTGTTGTATAAAACAGAAATGAGAAAATATATATAGAAATCTCAGAAATTGTTTGTAGTGTATGCTTGCACTTCACACTGTGCTTTGAGGTAAACAAATGACACTTGTAGGATTGTGAACTCAAAGAAAATAAATTGAAGTCAAGGTCATTAATTCTTTGTTTTGAATGTAGCGATAACAGTGGATTTCTTGTTGATTGCTCAGTGTCATGTTTTGGAAATCTGCAGTGCAGAAATAGCAGATAAATTCATCAGATGGTCAGATGAAGTGACCGGCTGAAGACCAGACTGGCTGATTCAATCAGAAACATTAACATTCTGATGCTGGTGGGTTAGAAATGTCCCTTACATTCCCTGCAGTCACAACTGCATTGTTGTTTTCTTGAAGTGATTGCTTTCGACAGGACTCATCATCCGCAATATGCTTTTGCCAGCATCGGCCGGAGGCTGCTGCTCTGAATGTTTTCATCAGATTGAAAGGGAGGCATTTGGGAAATATGAAAATGTAGAAACAATGGTATGGGAAAAAAAAATAGGTTAAATTTAAAGTAAAAAATTAATGAGTTTTCTCAATAGTGTGTAACATTGAAAATACAATGCATAATATTAGAGTTTATGTTGATTTTGTATCACTCACCAATCAGCCACTTCATTAAAACCACCTCCTTGTTTCTACACTCATTGTCCATGTTTATCAGCTCCACTTACTATATAGGTGCACTTTGTAGTTCTACAGTTACAGACTGTAGTCCATCTGTTTCTCTGCATACTTTGTTAGCCCCCTTTTACCCTGTTCTTCAATGGTCACAGGACCAGTTTATGTGGGTTTATGCACCTTAAAGAGTGATTTCCAACCTTAGGATAGAGTTGGTCAGGCTGTTCCTTTAAGGCTGATATATGCAAATACATCTGTTCTGATTGGCCGCCCTGTATTGTGCCTCACATAGAAAGCAGTCCAGGCTGAAACACTCCTTATAACTTCAGCATGAGTGGGTGAGCTGTAATCAGCTGTTTAATTAAGTGACCCTTATTAGTCCCACAACGGGAAATTTCACCTCCGCATTCTAACCCATCCGTGCAGTGAAACACCACATACACACTAGTGAACGCACGCACACTAGGGGGCAGTGAGCACACTTGCCCGGAGCGGTGGGTAGCCCTATCAGCAGCACCCGGGGAGCAGTTGGGTGCCTTGCTCAAGGGCACCTCAGTCACATAGTGTCAGCTCAGGGGATCCAACCAGCGACCTTCCGGTCACAAGGCTGGTTCCCTAACCTCCAGCCCATGACTGCCCCCAAAAGACAGGCTTGTGAAGCTTCAGCATGGAGATGCAGGGGATTGAACCCTGGACTTCACACATGCAAAGCATGTGCTCTACCCCTGAGCTACATCCCCACAATTAGGCAGATTGCTGGTTTTTGTGACATCACAAAAACACTCAACTCACACCAGGCTGTTATTGTTTTCATATATGAAGTAAACAATGTGCTTGGAAACAGTGATTACATAATACATCAAACTTATTTCAAAAAAGTGAAGAAAATTTGTTTTTTCCAAGCCCTTTAATTCTTGATTCTTTCCTTATAAGGTAATTGGTTATGTTCTGAAAGTTTCTCTCCTGTCTTGTTGCTTCTCACTCATGTCTCATTAGCCTCAGTTTGTCTTGGGGCGATGGTGTTCCAATTAATTGCCGCGTCCTAAAAATACACACACCCGTGCCCAAGTGGGACTGACGTTCAACTGACACGAGACCCGGAGCGTAGCCAAACTTGTTGACATTGCGAATGACGTGACAAGTCTTGGTCCTCACTGTTCTAGAAAGGAAGGAAGCTGTAACAAAAGACATTTCTAAAGAATGTCTGCAGTTATATGTGGCTTGAAGCAAATATAGAGTGCAAGTCAATTCACAACATTTCAACCCAATATTTTAAACATTATTTTTACATAACTATACAGATTCCACCTCATATCATCTGGACACATCACAGAATCTTCCTACAGTTTGAACAAATCTTGGTTGATTTAGTTTGGAATTGTGATATTTGTTGGCAGAAAGAGACACTTTATGCATAAAAGTATTGGGAAGGGTTGATGGGGGGTTGGGCTGGTGTAAAGCACACCACCACTGAGCTCTGGAGCAGTGGAAACGTGTTCTGTGGAGTAACGAATTATGCTTTTCTATCTGTCAGTCTGATGGATGAGTCTGGGTTTGGCAAATGCCGGGAGAACATTACCTGCCTGACTGCATTGTCCCAGCTGTAAAGTTTGGTGGAGGAGGGATGATGCTATAATGATATGGGGTTGTTTTCAGGGGTTGGTCTAGAACCCTTAGTTCCAGTGAAGGGAAATCTTAAAGCTTCAGCAGAACAAGACATTTTGGACAATTGTACACTTCCAACTTTGTGGGTACAGTTTGGGGTAGAACTTTTTCTGTTCCAGCATGACTGATCCTCAGTGCACAAAGCAAGGTCCATAGTTTGGTGTGGAAGAACTTGATTGGCCCGCACAAACCCTCAACCTCTAGAATTAGACAGGCTGTCTTTGTTAATGCACCTTTAAGACTGATATATGTAAATGAGCTCTGTTGAAACACTCATAACTTTAGCATGCATTAGCAGGGCCAAACGGTTGTAGATTAAAAAGACATATGTATGTAAATGAGTTGGTTCTTGTGAAATCATCGGAAAAATTAACTCATATCTGGCTGGTTTTGCACCATATTTGGACTGTATGGACTGGGGAGTTAATAGTATGCTTTGAAATGTGACAGTGTTTACATACTATGTCAAACTTATTTAAAAAATAGTGAGGGAAATTTGGTTTTCCATGTATGGGCCCTTTAAAACATATATATATATATATATGATATATGTAAAAGACATCTGTTCTGAAAACCAACGTGATTGCTTGTCTTGCCAAGATTAACTGTATTTGCAGCCTAAATCTCTCAGGTAAAGGACAATAGAGTATGAAGTAACTTAAGCTTGAAATGAACCCTTTGCATGTATAAGTGAAAGAACTAAAAAAAAACTATGCTAATATTTGCTAATATTTTGATTGATGGGCATCACATGAATATATCTGGTGAAAACATGTTGAGTTTGCACTTTAGTAAAATTAAGAAGCCATTCTTAAATCTACTGAATGTTGATTTTAGTGACACCAGTGAAAATGTTAGTGGACCGAGGCACACCCATCAAAGCAAATTCAGGAAGTCAGAAAGTCTGCAATCAAATTCTGTGAATTTACTCTAATGGGTGTGCCTCAGAGTTCAGTCTTTGGCCCAATGGCATTTTTACTGTGGTCAATGTTTAAAACAGTAAATGTATTGATAATATTAGCATTAGCTAAATAACTTAACTCCAAACTTCAACATGAATGGACGGGGATAAACTGCTGTAGGCTGAATAGACGGATATACGTAAATGTGTTGAGATTTGTGACATCACAAAAACAACTTATTCAAAATGTGCTGCTTTTGCATCTTAATTTCCATAAATGGATTGCACGGACCGGTGGATTTAATGTTTTAAAATTTTAACAATGTTTATGTATCATATCAAGCTCTTTTAAAATGTTTCTTTGCATTCATATTTCCATGACATAAACTATTTAACGAGGAAAAAGAACACAATACTGCTGTTGCTTGTCTTGCATCTCAACATTAACTGTATTTGTGGACTACATTTCCCAGGTAACGGACAATACAGTATGAAGTAGCTTAAGCTTCAAACAAGAGTCTGAACCCTTTTAAATGGACAATTTTGTGTATAATTCAGTGATTTTATTTGCAACATGTCACTGTCAGATTTGTAATGAAACTGTAACATAGTGAATCTTGTTTGTTTTGCCCTGAATCAGGTAATTTAAAGCCAGTCACGCTAGCAGCGTTTTAAATTAAGATAACATGTTCCTTATAATTACCATGCAGGTTCCTGAAAATTTGTTACTAGCATGTAATTATGTAGAATGAGATTGTTGTAATTGGCTAAAATTGAAACCCATATGCCACGAAAGAGAGAATGGTAATTAATGGGCTGCTACTTTCTTAAAGGTGAAATATTAATTATAGGTTTTGAAATGGAGTTGACGAGCCCCACTTCTGCTCTCAGTCTCTAAACATGCTAATGCTTTCTCTCCTGTTCTTTCTTACAGGATCACGTTTTGCCATCTTCCGTTCCAGAGCAAATGGCTTTACGTTGGAACGGAGCGAGGAAACACACACATCGTCAACGTCGAGTCCTTCATCTTGTCCGGATACGTCATTATGTGGAACAAGGCCATAGAACTGTGAGTACCAGCATTGTAAAATCAATGTGGCTAATAAAGCCAATGAGAGTGGAATCAATCCAGAACCATAGTGCAGCTTAGCCTACATTCAAAGCACATTCAAGACTTTTAAGATGCTAATAAAGATAATTTGCTAATACACTGGACATTAATTAGGTAACTTAATGTAGTTAAGAAGCATTAAGTACACCTCCTTCTTTCTACACTCACTGTCCATTTTATCAGCTCCACTGACCATATAGGAGCACTTTGTAGTTCTACAGTTACAGACTGTAGTCCATCTGTTTCTCTGCATACTTTGTTAGCCCCCTTTTACCCTGTTCTTCAGTGGTCAGGACCCCCATAGAGCAGGTACTGTTTGGGTGGTGGATCATTCTCAGCAATGCAGTGACACTGACGTGGTGGTGGTGTGTTAGTGTGTGTTGTGCTGGTGCGAGTGGATCAGACACAGCAGTGCTGCTGAAGTTTTTAAACACCCCTCTCCATCATTGAAAGCACCTACAATGTGTCAGTGTCAGAACCGGACCTTAGAGCAATAGAAGGGTTGGATGTGTCTCGTTTTCTTTCCATGCATCACTTACCTGGGGAAGCAATGGTACCAGGATGCACTGTGGGAAAAAGACAAGCCAGTGGAGGGAGTGTGAAGGTCTGGACAATGCTCTGCTGGGAGACCCTGGGTCCAGGCATTCATGTGAATGTCAATTTGACAAGTCTCACGTACCTAAACATTGTAGTGAATCCCGTTTGACATTTCTTGGCAATGGTATCCCACCATTTCAGTGGCCGTCTTTCAGCAGGATAATGTGTCCAGCTACACTGCACACACTGTTTGGGAATGGAGGAACATGATGAAGAGTTCGAGGTGATGGCCTGCCCTCCAGTTTCCCCAGATCTCAATCCGATCAAGCATCTGTGAGATGTGCTGGAATGACACACAGTCAGGGACCGTCAGATCTGCCGCAGCTGCACGTCACAATTTACAAGACAGATACCACAGGGCACCTTCAGAGGTCTTGTAGAGTCCATGCCTCTGGGAGCCAGAGCTGTTTTGGCAACAAATGGAGGACCAACAGTATATTACACAGAAGGTAATGACATTTTGGCTCATCGGCATAGTGCAGGGGTCGGCAACCTAAATGTTAAGAAGAGCCATTTTGTTCTTGCCACAAAAAACAATCCACCTTGGGAGCCACAACATTTTATGTCCATTTTATTGAAGTAACATTTTACCATCTTGGCTGTAAATATGTCTCAGTATGTGCTGATGTGCTAGTATAGACTAAAAAATATAATACATATGAAAACACAGACTTACTTTGCTCTGCTTTAAGCTTTAGCTCAGCTATAGCTGCTTTTCTCACATCTCTGGCAGGAAACTTTTCTACAAAAGTAGAAGAGTTTCTTGTAAAATGTCTCTCAACGTTCGACTTTTTGCGAGGCTGAAGTCGCTTCTCATTTGCCAGCTTCTTGTTCGAATTTTCCCGTTCCACCTTAAATGATGAGGCACTAGAATGCAACCGCTGCACAATTTAAGGTGGAATGGGAAAATTTGAAAAAGAAGCTGGCGAGCGAGAAGCTGACTACAGCTTTGTGACTTTTTAGTGTTTGACAGTTTCTCACTGAAGATTAAACCTATCAGGAAACCAGCTGGAGTGATTATAAATGCAAAGAAGTCCATTTGTCTCCAAATAATCGATGTTCATCTTAAATGTTTCTCTTTGCAGTTTCGTTAGCTACTAGCTAGGTGAGATAGTTGTCTGCATTGCTACAGTGACCAGCAGTCTAAGCGCTGATCTTCAGGGTTAAAGGGTGAATTAGCAGTTCTACATTAACTCCAGAGTTTAAGACCATTTATTGTTAAACTGTGTTGAACGATCAGCAGAGCTTTATTTTACTGCAAAGTGGGATTATTTTATTTTTACCTACAAATCTGATTCTGCTGTGGAGCCGCAACAGGGCAGCAAAGTCTCTTTCCTATGTGTTGGTGCACATATAAGAGATTAGCAGTGTCACTCTCTGAGGTAAAGAGCAAGGGTTTTCACATTATATCACCTTCTAAACCACAGAGGAGCCTCTTATCTCTCACCCCCCCCCCACACCCCGCACACATACACTCCACAGGAAAGTGTGTAAGTCAACACCAACACCTCAGTCCCGCGTGTGTTACTCTGACAAGAAAAGAGCTCACGAACGTCAATCACGTCTCCTCCCACGCACACGCCCTCCGGCACCATCCCAGCCGGCTGACAACAGCGTTAGCAGTGAAATCAGTGCGGATGTCTTTTTGAAGGATGTTTAGACCAATGGCTCCTGTTCTTGCCCAGTTCCCCTACCCACAATCCTCTCTGCTCCAGTTCCTCTCCCCACAATCCTCCTTGCTCCTTATATTCCCTCATAGGGCCTCAGTGCTGCATGAAGTGTTTACCAGTTTAAATAAATTCCCCTCAATGAAAGCACTGCTGACAGCGGTGCAACTCAAGCCATTAAGCATTCATTATTCATTCAGTTATTTTTTGAGGAGATATTTAAGAGGCGATTAGATAAAATTAGATAATCCACTTATATAAAGAAGGAGAAAATGAAAGTGGAAAAAAAGGGAGTTTCAAAAATGATTAAATATATACAGACAAAATGGGCTCAACTGTGCAAGACATTCCAATCAAAATAAAGCTCCACTATTGCTATCTGTCCATCCTTCCACTGTGAGAAGACGACTCAGCGCTGTGGGTCTGAAAGGATGTGTAGCTGTCAAGAAGAACCTCACTGAGAAAAGGAGACGGACACATCAAACAAAGAAGCTGAACAATGGACTGACCACCCCAGAGTCCAGACCTCAGCATCACTGAACGTGTTGGGAATAACTTGGACTGTGAGAAGCAGAAAACCAACCAACTCCTAAGACTGAACTTGTTTATGTCTGCAGCTAAGAAACAAGCCTTAATGGATCAGGTGAAATTCCACTGTGCCGTTCTTAAATGCTGTACTTTTAAAACCTTTTAAACCTTTCTAATGTTATATATTCAAATAAACCCAAAATGGAAACATAAGCATTTTAATATGAGGCACATTTACAAGCAAACCTTATTTTTCCAGTATCCAAAAATGCATTGACGCCACTGCATCAGATCGAATTATCAGATTTGTGAATTGTTGCTCCTCTAGCAGTTTTGTAACTACAATAGTGCTTTTCCTGAAGAAAATGCAGAGTGATTGCGCAGCTGAAGCGATTTGAGAATGGTTGCTAAGGTCTTGCCAGGCAGTTGCTATATTGTATGTGGTTGCTAGGTTGTTGATAGGTAGTTGCTGTGGAATTATGCGTGGTTGCTGAGATATGGCTAGGTGGTTGATATGGTATCCCAGTTGGTTGCTAAGGTGTTGCTAGGTGGTTGATATGATGTCCTAGGTGCTTGCTAGGTGGCTGCTTTGGTATCCGAGGTGGTTGCTAAGGTGTTGATTTGCACTTGCTATGGTATCCCAGGTAGTCGCTAAGCTGTTGCTAGGCAGTTGCTATGTTATCCCATGCGGTTGCCAAATTGTTGTGGTTGTTGAAGTGGGGGGTTTATTTAGTTGCCAAGTGGTAGCTACATGTTGTTGAAAATGAATGGTAGTCTATGAGAAGAAGGAGGGATGAAAAATGACACCTAGAGGAGTGCAGGGCAGTTTGGCTGTGGGTAGACTGATATACATTTTTTACCTCATCGGAAAAAAATTTGGACTTTATTGAAGATTGTACTAAAGCCATTCAGCGGATCAAAAAGCTGTATACAAGCACACATTCCTGATCAGAACGAACATTCCCGACTTGGAAAACTGCGGGACAAGTTAGCAGACAAAAATGTGGCAGAAAAATGAGAAAAAAGGGCCGTAGAAGAATAGAAATCATATAATAGCGTTCACTGACTAATTGCTTTCTTCACTTTACAGTTCTGTCTTTACCCACTAGATGTTGATAACAGTTTTACAGTCACAAGCAAAAGTTTGAACATCCTGGTCAAACTGCACGATTACTTGATATTCTAAGTGAAAATAAGTGACACATCCTCCCCAAAAAGTGAGAACACACTTAAATGTGTCGATTTTCTGCAAAATTTGGTTTAAATTTCTCGATTTTTCCCCCAGTATTTTAAATTCAGCAAATGAACAGTAACTGTGCATTAAAATGTGTTCTCTGTAAAGGATGTGGACTTATTTTCAGTTCGTTTCACTTCGTCCAGTAAAATGTGTCCTTTCACAAGGGGCGCTGAAACATTTGCACACGTCTACTTTCAGTAGATTTGTTGAAATGTGTTGACAGCTTGTTCACAGTCGTAAGTTTAGTCTTTGTTTTCACGTATCGCGGCTGATTCCACGCCATTCGTGGTGCTGCTGCTTCACTCTACGTTCCCTCGCATTGTTCAGCTTTATGAGGCTGCTTGACTGAAATGTCTGATGCCTTGACAAGCAGACAAAACAACAGCAGCTTCTGCAGCTCCCCGTCTCGTCTGTGCTCCAGTGTTTTGTCATAACAAAACTTTGCTAGACACGAAAACAACTCAGTGAATTCAACCAGAGGAGCCCAAGTCTGGTTGGATGTAGCAGCCATGAATTTGTGATAAGAACAGCTCTAAAGCTCTGCAGACTGATAAACACGCCGTGCTGGAAAAAACAGGTCCTCAAGTACAACTTAAAGTGAAAGTTCATCTAATTTACAGTGGTTTCCAAACCTAAACCCAAACACACTCACTTGGCATCAGAAATTTGTTTGGTTGGTTTTATGCTGTAGCTATGAGGCTAATGTCGCTAACAGGTTATGGAAGCAGATTAGCATTTATCATTAACTGTATGACACACTGTTATCTATTAACATGGACAAGAATAAACAAAATTCGGCCTTCCAGATGTCTGTTACAGGTGGTTTTAGCATGTCAAAGACTTTTGTCTATTTTTATAGAGTACCAGAGTAAACCTCGTATCTCCATTTTTGATGTTTTTCAGTTATTGACATAATTTGAAAATACCTG